CGACACAGAGCTCCGCCTCCTGATGGTCGCAGTGCAAACCCAGAGAAAGCGTCGCTGTGACAAACAGAGGAGCAGCTCTTCTGAAACGAGTGAAGGTTTAATGAAGTGATTCTAAAACCGCTCAGACTCACTGAGCGCGAGCAGCTGAGCGCGTTACATACAGACCACGCATCGTGCAGAGTGCCACAAACACTCGTGCTGAGCAGCAGCTGATTGGTCGAGTCTGACGACAGCAGGGAGCCGGAGAGGAAAAGCTGACCTGCGCGTTTTCCCCGCTCCCGACCCGCTGAGGCGCCGGGAAAAAGGCACCGAGCAGTTCTGTTTATGTTTTGGTTTGTCAGAGGTTTCCGCCGCCCTCTGATGCGGCGCGGCGGTCAGCCGGTGCCGTGGCTACTGTACTCGAAGACGCCTTTCTTGAAGAACGAGGAGAAGTCGCAGACGTCTCGTTTGGACAGGTGGAAAAGGCCGTCTTCGTCCGCTCGGAGGGGCGAGCTGGAGGACGACAGCATCACTCGGAACAAGTTCCTCAGATAACGCTGCAGGGAACCACAGAAGAAGAACGTCGGCGGTGTTAGTGAGCCAAAACATTAAGAACACTCACAGGTTAAGAGCAGCTGGCTCTTATCAGACGTCCTCACCATCCTCACCATCATCAGTGCTCTTTGACTCCCGCCCTCGTTATGGTAGCCCCACCCCCACACCGACCACAGCCAATCAGCTCAAACCCAAAAACTTTACGTTTGAAGTGAAAACTTCATAGAAAATAAAACACGTCCTGGTCACCTCTCGTCAGATTACTGTGACGCTGTTCTCCCAGAAATCAGCCCCAAATGTTCCTCCACGTACCTCCAGGTGATTCCGCCGCTCGGCGACCATTCGCTCATCCCGGTTTCCAAACAGCTTCTTTGGCGGGAAATCGAGAGCGGCGAGCTGAAACAGAGAGTTCAGAGACGATCACCTGGCGCCAGAACACTGAGTATAAAAGTATAAGCTCTTCATCAGGACTCTGTGACGGATCTGTAAGGCTGAGAGGAACCTGGACCGACACCAGGTGAGTTCAGGTGACTGTGGAGCGCCGTTTGGTCTTTCAGGCGTGTTCCTGCTGCTGCACCAGCCCCTCACCACAAAGACTCAAACCAGCAACTCAGGCTGCTTGAAACAGTTTTTTTCTACTCTGGGATCTGGATGATGTCACTGAGAGCTGGCTTGAAGTGGGCGGAGCTAAAGCAGACAGAGGCTGAACTGAGATAAAGGATTTGAGAAGCTTTGAGGCTTCGACTCGGAGCTCGATTTGTCTGAGCGCAGCACTCACAGCCCAAACGTGATCTCGGTAACGTTCTGGGCGTTTCGTCATTCTTCCGACTCAAACACAGAAACGTTTCTGCTGCTTTGATCTGTAAACTGAAAGCTGATGACGTGTCTCACCTCTGGATATTTTAACTTCAGGCTCTTGTGCATTTCCCGGAAGCGGCTGTAGCGTCTGAACACCGTCCACGTCTCGTCCATCACAGTGATCTGACCAAAGAGAAGCACATGAACATCGAGATGATGGACACCAAATCTGAGCTCGCCGATCTACTCAGCC